TATATATATATATATTTTTATGTATTTTAGCACCCGATGGCTCCGAATTCTTGGAAGATATTAGAGAGCGAGTGCGCGAATGGAGCAACGGTTTGAACAAAAGGGACGACAGTGCCTTTTTTTGCCAAACTTTTGTATACTTTACACACTTTGGTTGGCAAANTTTCTCTCCCTCTTTCCATATTTTGTTTGTGTGTGAGAAAGAGGGAATTCATTGATTCCGATCAATGTCGTGCACTACCCGGGTACCTATCAATCACTGTCTTTTGTAACCATTTCAGACCACACCATCTTCACTACCTACCAGAATTCTGTCCCCACAAACGAGGATCACTTTTCTGCAATTTTGCAAAGTGAGTCGAACCGTTCAATGGGACACTGGTTCGTATAGTCAGAATAAACCACGTTTCGAACGAAACATTTATAAGCCATGTCATCCAAATCCGCGATCAAGCAAAACGAGCGAATGGTGTCGAGTGTTGTTGCACGCAAATCGGCCACAACTGATGCCGAGGATGATATATTCATGGATAAAGAAGAATTGTTAAAGGAAAAGTGAGTGAGTGATGCCATGAGAGCGACAACGGCAAATTTGCACACACGCATAGGTTGGATAAACTGAACACCGATGTGGACAGTGTCTGTGAGGAAATTCGTAAACTGTGAGCATCTCTGTTCGACCAGTTACATCATCACACATATCATTGTGTTTCCAGTCAGAGTTACAACGATTGGTTGACTATAGTGATTGAAGATGGAGAAATGCAAAATGTATGTGGCTAATTCTCCCGTTTGGATTGACCGTACAAATTATCAAAGCATGAAATTTTACGTTTTATAGAGAAAAAAGAAGACCGACGAACAAATCATTCGACCACACTCAGTGATTTTCATGCCTACAACATTGAAGTGTTGAAACAAGAACGTAACGAGATATTGGAAATATTTTCCGAACAGAAAAAAAGTTTGCCCTCAGTAAACGTGATCCGTTTAATTTTGCTTGTTTGTTTCTATATTGTAGCACTGTGGGAACAGTTAGAGCAAGAACAGAAAACACTGGACAAGTGTCGCGAAGAGCTGTTCCAAATGCGTGAACTAAAGGTAAATCATGTGATCGTTTGTTTCCTGTGTATCGAACCGGAATCAATTTGTTTTTTTTTTGCATGCTTTAGAATTCTGTTTTTTATCCGCAGCTCTTTGATGCAGTTCGTCTAATCTCTCGAATTTGTTCATTGGGCTGACGCGTTCCCTACCATCTCGAAATTTGACTGTAGCTCATCTTTACTGAATATTTCTGACAGTTAGACAAACATGCTCACTCCCCGATCATAAGGCTCGGGATATTTAAAAAAAAGCAGGACTAGTGTTATAATTCCACAAGACGATGCGCAGTGGAGGATAGTCGTTTATTGTTTATTACCGATGAGGTGTGACTAATTTGGCATACATAACACATAAATCTCATCAGAAACATACCATCGCAGTTCTTGCCAGCACAATGGGTAATGAATGCAGCAATCGATTGTTAATCTTTGAAACTCAGCAATTTGCCCTCGGTGAACTTACTAATTTTAAATCGTCTTAATAAATCACAAAATGTGTTACATACTACTCACAAATGTGAGTAGTACCTTACGACACTAGGAGAGGGAGTATAAAATATGACTGTACACAAATATTTCATTGTACCTACATGCTTTACTCAAAGTTTTCACTCATATGTGGTCAGAAAAGACACCAAACGTTTTTCCAAAACATGAATGAGCAATCCAACACACAACGAGGACTTTCGCCAGCAAAACAGTGCTGGGCTGAATTGATTTTCACTTTGTGGAAATAGTCCATTCCAATCGTAGGCGATCAGTCATCATTGTCCGTATTCTTTACACAAATGTCAGGCTTGCGTGTTTCCATCTTTTTTCATTCCTAGAGAGTAAAACTATAGAACACCGTTCCTCTCTTATTTTTCTCAAACGCTTACAATATTTCTCTTTAAAATTGTCGGATCGACGAATCGGTTTTATCTCGTTAGATCCGTATAGGAATGTTTGGGTTAGCCACAACGAGATAAAACCGCAAAACAACAATTTTCAGTTGACAAGGTTTCGACCCTCTTGGAAGGTCTTTTTTAACTTAATTTAAATGTGAACGTTAAGCAAAAACTGTTACAGAAACCGTATCCAATGTAGGAACTTCTGATTAGTCTAGGGAAAGGAAAAGTTGAGTTAGTGTGTGCGTGTGCAAGTGGCATCAAGCCAGTGAACTGACAATTGACGCAAAGTGGATTGCTGTTGATGAACAATGACTCAGTATTTAATCGTTCTGTATATGACCTTGAACCTTGTTTCAGAATAATCGGTTTTTCCAAGTCTATAATGTGTCCCTCAGAAATGAAATGCAGAGCGATAGCTAAGTCCATCTCAGGGGCTCTAAGTTCCAATGTACCTTTTTGGAGAGCGTTTGGATTTCCTGACATGTTCGTCTTATCGCTTGTTTAGTTGTCAACTTGTTTGGCCAACATACGTGCCTGTACACTGTTTACATCTTATCTTGTCAATAAGATTCGATTGATCAGCTTTTGGTCGTTTGTCCTTAAGTCGCATCAAAATTGAACAAGAGGTGCTCGTTACCCGAAACGCGACCCGTATATTTAAAAGGTTCGATATTCGTTGAATGTCTTTTGATGTATTGCGCCGATATCCGGAGCTATAACCGGGTTGGCTGACCACTAGCAGTTCACCTAGGGGAGTTGGCCAAAAATCATGATTACAAACCAACCATGAGGAGGTGCACGAACCACACTCACCTTTCTGGTTGTGGCAGTGGTCACCAGCTCAATTGGGCATCGAGGTTTATTGGGCACCTTGGACGTTTGACCCCGTCCAAAGGGCGTATGATCCGATGAAGTGGACACCGGCCCCCAATGGACTGCAGACTGAGCTCTGTCCTGTTGTCTTGTGGGTCAGGGATCAGTCACAATCTCAGACACTCACTCCGACCATACTGAAGTTTTCGGCGGTAGATTTGATTTTAACTGCGATGAAAACTGTTGGGTATGTGATGTGCAAGTGAATCGCATTTCACATGTGGAATATAACCGAACTGTCAAGGGGTGAAAAACCACGATCCCACCATACATGGGGAATTCAGACGCGATACCAAGTTACTTTGAAGAAATCAAATCACCCAAGCGCCGCTGCCAATATATTAACTTCAACTTCATTTTTGCGCGCCCTTCGATTGGCTGCGCTACACTCTCATGCTTGTTCGTCACG